TTTCTTCCACTTCCCTGGGGTGTGATTTGGGAGGGGGTGGGGGGGGAGGATCACTCATGAGGCTTTCAAACCTTGACAAGGAGGGGCCTACTGAAGGTTTAGGCTGGAAAGCCAAGCTATGGGGCTCCAGCTCCCTAGGCCTCCACCACTCAAGCAGAGCAGCTAGTTCACTTAGAAGAAATGGGGGGTGGGGGGGAAGGGCACAGTGGTGGACAGCTCTGCTGCTTTAAGAAGGTTTCAACACCATTGGTGTAGCAGAAACAACACCTGCTCCTTGAGTTCTCTAAGCCTCGGTTTCCCCATATGCAAAACAAAGAAATCAGTGGCAGTGTGAATGTAAGGAGGCCGCCTTGGAAATTCAATCTGCAGGGGTGATGGTGAGGGGGCGGGTTGCAAAAGGAGGGAGAAGTTACTGTAAGGAGCAGGCAAAGCCCCTTTCCACTGCCCTCTCTGCAGGGCAATGGAGGGATGAGGGATGGACACAATAACCTTGACATCTGTCTTAAAGAAAGAGCCTGAGGTTTCTATTGCCCCAGGGCTAGTTCTGAAGGTTGCTGAGAATGCCTGACACTGGGCAGGAGCTCTCTAGACTTGGGGGGGCGGGGGGGGGAAGCGGGGGCAATCCATACTGAGGGAGGGTATTTCTTAATCAGAGGTCCTGAGGGAACCAACTAGCTCTTGTGTCCTGAACTGACAGTGGTTTGGTGGCAATTTCAGCACTTAAGGATCAAAGAAATAACCATGTGAAAACTAGAGGACCCCTCTGGCTTGGAGGGAAGTAGTAAAATAAGTCTGGTGAGCATGGTACCGGTGGGGACAGCTGACTTGAGTTCCAGTTCCCACTCAGCTGCTTACCAGCTCGAGCAAATGACAGAGCTCCGTGGCCCAGTTTCTCCTCTGTGAGGTGACAGCTTGCTTCTCCTGGGAAGGCTGTGCAGGTGAATGGCACATAAGCCCCCAAGTGCAGTGTCCAGAAGTGTTGGCTGCTGTGAATAGGATGCTGGTCCAAGGTGACCAAAGGCGTTAGGGCTAAAACCTAGGTTTCCTGCCTTCCAACCCACTGCTTTGCACAAGTCACCACACTGTGTTTTTAAACTGGCTGAATTGCCCAAAGTTAGATCCTGATTTCCTAAGTCCTCTGGTGAGAAATTTCCAAAGTGACCCCTTGACTTTTTTTCTAGTTGCAAAACAGGACCTCATTGGAGGGTCACAGGGCACTGTGCTCTGTCAGCGATGCTGACACCCAGAGAGAGAGAGAAAGCCATGCAGAGACTCTCACTCTCTTTCTCCTCCAGTTGTTCTCTTCAACCCTTAACAAATTGATGGGCAGATCTTTAGAAAGCTAGAGAAGTTGGAGATTAACATCAAGTGTGGGTGTTTGGAGCAGTTATTCCAAAATATCCTTCCTCCAAACATTTACAGTGTCGGCAATGTGGACACATCTTCGTCCAAGATGACACAGCTAGTTAAGTAGTAGCCTTGGGTTTCAATCCCTGGTTTGTCCAACCTCAGAGGCCAAGCTCCTTCCAGAATACCTCTGCTACTCATTTTATAAGTCTCCTCTCTAGAAAGTTCTCCTGGGGAGGTGGGGGGGCGGAGGTTCTAAGGTTTCTAAGTTGTGGATGTAAACTCAATACTCACCTTGGTTTAAACCTGGTCCAGGTGCAAAGAAGTACCAAAGTAGGTTGCTGTCTAATTCATCAACAGAAAGGGTACTTCCCTGGAACTTTTATCTCTAGAGGTGTAGATCTTGTCCTCTGGTCTTCAAGAAAGGGTCTTGAAGGGCAGGGTTTGATTCCCAATCAGTGCAGGAGGCAGCTGATCAATGATTCTCTCTCATCATTGATGTTTATCTTTCTCCCTCTCTGAAATGAATAGAAAGAAAAAAAAGAAGGAAGGAAGGAAGGAAGGAAGGGAGGAAGGAAGGAAGGAAGGAAGGAAAGAAAGAAAGAAAGAAAGAAAGAAAGAAAGAAAGAAAGAAAGAAAGAAAGAAAAGGAAAGAAAGAGAAAAAGAAAGGGTCTGAGTGTTGGTGTTTGGGTTTGTGTTTGTGTTGGGATGGGAGGAGTCATGCCCTTCCTCAGCTTGATGTCCTGGCCTGAAGGGAAATACCCTTCTGGAGCTCAATCCCCAGATGACCCTGTCCTAACAGACTGCATCTGGGGACCCACGTCATCTGACCTATTTATTCAGAAGTCACAATGATTTCTTTGCTGCCTGCCCCTTTCTCCTTTCTCCGCATTCAATCCTGTCTCTGCTACTAGTTTTATGACCTTGGGCTGTGTGCTTCCCACTCTGAACCTCAGTGTCCGTGGCTGTGAAGTGGGGGTGCCCCTTTACTCATCTGTCTGGGCCTGTTTCCAGGAAGCAGTCCAGTAGAAGTGGGGTGAAGAACAGGAAGCAGTCCTGAGTTCAAATCCTGGCTCCCCAGTATATCCTCGGACACGTCATTAAAAAGAAACCTCTATCATCAGTTTCCTCATCTGTTTCCTCACCTTGACAAGAGGATTAAATAGGAAAATACATGTAAAACACCCAGCATAATGTCTGCTATATAGTAAGTGTTATAATGCCATAGATTGAATATCAGCTGCTAGAACCAGGACTGTTCTGGACAAACCAGAATGGCTGGTCACTCTCCAGGAGACTCAGAGGTGCCAGGCAAGGCCATGGGGACTGAGAGATGGCCAGGAGCTCACCTGCCCACCTTAACGCAGTGTTGGTATGCTGCAGGGCAATGTCTATTGGATCTCCTCACCTCCACACACCCAGACCATCATGTTTTTTTCACTCTCCTTTAGAGCGTTCCAGGCCTTGATTCACATGGTGAAATGCAACATGGGCACTGGGATCCTGGGACTACCCCTGGCTGTGAAAAACGCAGGCCTCCTGGTAAGGAGGGTGGCCATAGGTGGGGCCAATATGACTGGGTGATAGCAGGGAGGTGGGGGGAGAGGCTCTAAGGCAGCGGTTCTCAACCTGTGGGTCGCAGCCCCTTTGGCGGTCGAACGACCCTTTCACAGGGTTGCCTAAGAACATCCTGCATATCAGATATTTACATTACGATTCATAACAGTAGCAACATTACAGTTATGAAGTAGCAACGAAAATAATTTTATGGTTGGGTCACAGCACGAGGAACTGTATTTAAAGGGCCAGAAGGTTGAGAACCACTGCAAGGGTTTATAACGGTTTGCAATGAGCAGTCTTTCTGGGAGGCAGCTTGGTCCAGATGTGGAGTCTAGACATCTAATCTGGGTATGAGTTCTGGCTCTGCCACAGACTTTGAGTGGCCTTTGCAAGTTATTTGTCCACTCTCTGGGCCTCAGTTTCCTCCCTTGTAGAACGCAGGGATTGGACGACGCCTCTCCAGTTGTGCTTTACAGAGCACTCATTCTCGGGGACGCCTCGGAGGCCACTAAAGGTCAGAATCCTGGGTCCCCTATTCCCCATTGTCATTGCTTTCTGTACTTCACTGGAGTACTCCATGAGATTATCTTTGGAAGAATAGCTGTTGCTGCTAAAATAGGCTTGCAAACCAGCATTGCTAGGAAGTTCGTTGAGTCCCGGATATCTGCACTACCAAATGCCTCCCCGCTGCGTTGTTCACAATTCATTCTCCTCTCTCTTCCCCTGTCTCTTCGCTCCCCGCTTTCTTCAGATAGGCCCGCTGAGTTTGCTGGCCATGGGCCTCATCACCTGGCACTGTATGCACATCCTGGTCAGGTGTGCCCAGCGCTTCTGCCACAGGTGAGGAAAGCATCGCCCTCGTGTCAATTCCTTTGGTACTTGGTTCTCAGGGACATCCTCCACATAATAAGAGTTGATTGCTTCCAACAAGGCCAAGAAAAAGAGAAGCACTGAGGGCAGGGATGTAAGGCGAGGCTCTGCCATGTGACTCACTGGGTGCTGTCAATCAGGCCATTGTATCTTCTTGACTCACCTGTAAATTGAGTCTAAACAATCCATGCCTAACTCTGCCTCAGAGAATTGTCATGAGGATCCAGTGGGATCATGGATATAAAAACCTCTGTACCCATACAAAGTATGTATTGTATAGTAACCACTGCCCTTGACAGGTAAGGAAAACAAGCCACCAAGGGAGTAACACCAGGTGGCAAAGTCTGAACTGGAACTTGGGTCACTGCCCCATTGTCCTTTCCACTCCAGCTGGTCCTGCCTCGCTGTGTGTCTCCTGACTTTTCAGTGTATGATCTCAGGTTAAATTGCTTCTCAGTAACTGTGTATGCACTTCCTCCTGCAGGCTTAACAAACCCTTTATGGATTATGGAGATACAGTGATGCACGGACTAGCGGCCAGCCCCAATACCTGGCTCCGGGACCACGCTCACTGGGGAAGGTAACTTGTCCTTACTTTGCTAGAAGTGTGGCCATCGGCCATTCCTTCTTCCCTGGAAAGCTGGCTCTTACAGCACAGAACGTTGGACTCTCCACATGGAAGGGATTCATTGGCAACCTTCCTGATCCAGCCCCTCTTTGTATACCTCCATTGACAGGGTGTTCACCCTTTGCTATACAGCTTTAATAGTATCCACTTTTTTATTGATTTTTTTAGAGAGAAAAGGGGAGAGAGAAAGAGAAACATGAATTTGTTGTTATAATTATTTATGCTTTCATTGGTTGCTTCCCTTCTGTGCCCTGACCAGAGATCGAACTCGCAACCTTAGTTTCTTGGAACGATGCTCTAACCAATTGAGCTGCCTGGCCAGGGCTTCAGTTTTTTATTAAATCACATTTATCCAGTTGCTACTATGTGCCAGGCCCTGGAAATACTGTGAGGAGCAAGATACACAAGGCTTTGCCTCACAGAACTCATAGTCCAGTGGGGAAGAAGACAGGTGTTAAACAGTTTAGGACACAGTTACTTAGTAACCACTGGGGTAAGTACAATGAAGGAAAGAAGTAGCTAAGAGATCTGTGTGGGCTTGGGTGGAATTCCTGGGCCAAAACAGTGGTGATGGGTTCTGAAGGAAGTTCTTAAGAGTGAGGAATTACCTGTGGGAAAATGGGCAGGAGCCTAGAGGGCCTTCCAGGAAGAAGGAAAAGCAACATCTGAAGGTCCTGAAGCAGGAAGTGGCAGTTTCAAGGTATAGAAAGACCGGGTAACTTGAGGGTTGAGAGTCAGGGAAATGAAGCTAAAGAAGGATCCAGGGACTGATCTAGCTGTACATTTTAGACACTCTTAAAGGTTTTGTTCTTTTCTTTTTTTAAGCAACCAGGACACCATTGGTTTTAAGAAGGGAAGTAATTTAAGATTTTGATCAAGGAAGTAATTATATTTGCATTGTTTAAAGGTCTGTCTGGCTTCAGCAAGGAGAATAGATTGCAAAGGAGCAAGAAGAGATTAGTCAAACCCATGAGGACACGATGGTCAAAGTCCAGGCAGCTGGTAGTCATGGCTGGGACCAAGCTGACAGCAGTGGGAATGGAGAAAAGTGAATTTGGTCACGATTTGGGTCCTGGGGTTGTGAGAAAAGGAGAAAGTCCAAGTCAACTTAGATTTCTGATGACTTCTGTTTTGGTTGTGTCTGAGGTGCCTGGGAGATATTCAAGTGAGAATATCAAGTGGGTAGTTGTATGTATAGGTTTGTACCTATCTTCATGCAGGAGATGAAGAATCAAAGTGATCAGCCTGGAAGCCAGGGAGCAGAAAAGGTCTCTTAGAAAGTTTATAGTGAGAAGAAAAGAGAAAGAAAGACCAATAGGTTAATGACCCTTCAGTGAGCCGAAATCTTCCTCCTGCAGGGCCCACCTTTTAGCTTTCAGGGATAACAGAGAACAAGGCAACACCCTCTGTCCTCTGGTACTCAGGACTAAACTCACCCTTTTGTCTTTGATTTCAGGCCTGTACTCACCCTATAGGTCTACTTTTTTTCTGAGCACCATCTCAGTTGTCAAAGTCTAGCACCCTTGAATTGTGATACCTCAAACCCCAAACTGCAGTACCTGAGGTGTGCCCTGCTCATTTAATGTGGCCTAAAAGCATCACAGGTCTGGCATCTCCCTTGGCCCAAAGCCCATTCATGTATTGAATTAATGAATTCCGCTGTGAGCAGACTAGGAAGGCTGTGGGATGATAACCAGAATTTCCCCAATTGTGTCACCAAGAGGTGGTTTTTGCCTGTCACAACCCCTCAAATCCTTCTACTCACTGGGCACATAAAGTAGCTTTTCCCGCTCTCTTTTAGAAATCTTGCTTCACGAATCATCTCTCATGTAACTTGAGAACTTTTTTGAAATACGGGCTCCTCCTCTCAACACTTGAATGTGTTCATGTATCTCCATCTCAAAAGAATAAAATAAGTTAATAGAGTTTCCTGAAGCTTACACCATCCTCTAGCCACCATCCTAGCTCATATTCAACATCTGGTTGTTTGACAGATATCTGTTGAATGCCTACAATGTGCCAGGAAGTGCTTCAGGCAGTAGATCAGAAACAATGGGCACTCTCAAGACTGGAGCTCACAGTCTAGCTTCCATAAAGGACAGCCTACCCCCTGACTTTACTTCTGAACACCCCATTCATGCCTCTTTTGTGGGTCACCTGGCCTTTTTTGTCCTTAAATGTCTACAGAAGTTCTTCCCACTAAAATCCTGAAAGACCTCCTTGTCGCACCTTCTTCACCCTAGAGGACCTCTCAGCAGCACTGGGTCCAGTTGGCTATTCTCTTCTTCAAACATTCTCTCTCCTCTCTTGGCATCTATTAAACTATTTTTGTCCTCGTTTCCTGCCCACCTCTCTGGCCATTCCTTTGCATTTCTTGTGGAATTTTTTTGCTTCTATCCTTCCTTTTAATGCTGGTGTTCTCTACGGTTTGAATGCTGCCTTCTCCTTTTCTCACTTTGCACACTCTTGGTTGCTAATCTGTCTTCTCAAGGCTTTATCTATTATTGACAAATCAATAGTTCCAGACCTTAATACACAGTTGTCTCCTGTAGGAACCTCAAGCTCAGCAATTCAGATACTGAATGTGTAATTTCTTCCCTTTCCCCCTAAAATCTCTTCCTTCTGAGCATCCGACTTCATTTTGTTGCCCGAGCTAAAAACCCATCATCACTTAGGCCGTTTCCTTTCCCCAACTGGGTTTTGTAAGTTCTAGCTTCCTAGTATCTCTTAAAATGTTTCACTGTTCTCATCCTAATGGTCACATCTTTGTTCAGGCTGCTGCCATCTTTCATCTCCATTATTGTAAGAATCTCCTGCCCAACCTTCCCATCCTTAGCTTTGCTCCCTCAATGTGCTCTCCACATGGCAGCGAGAGAAATGTCTAATCCTTCTGCTGAAATGCTTTTCTCACTTCTTTCTCTCCATCTCCCCACCGCCTTCTTTCTTCTTTTATCGCTTCCCTTTCACAAGAGACTCTCACTTGGGTATTGGTGTTTCTAAGAAGGCTATCTGCTCTGTAATTTGGGTAAAATGCCCTTTCGACCATGGCCCTTAGAGCCATATTATTTTTGGTCCATCTTGACCACTAGTCTATAAACCACTAGAGGAAGGGACCACGTGTTATTTTTCTGTGTATCTTCAATGCCCACATAGAAAAAATTTAAATATTAATAATAGCTAAGAAAAACATTGTGCCTACTGCCCTACATTAATTAGTATCAGTTACAAGACATGCCTCAGAGCCAGGTGGGGAGAGGTTCCTGACTGTGAAGAATTTTACCACTTGCTGAGCTGAGAATGTGTGGGTGGTTGAGAAACATATTTATAAAAGAACTATTGTTACCTCACGTCTTACTACTGCCCCATTGTTGATTGTGGTGGCATGACCAAGGGTGCTGGTACAAGGCCACCACCCCCTGGGGCAAGAAATGACAAGCCAACTCTTTTTTTTAACAAGTGTTCTTTCTCTCTCTCTCCTCTCTTCCAGGCATATGGTGAGCTTCTTCCTTATAGTCACCCAGATGGGCTTCTGCTGTGTGTACATTGTGTTTCTGGCCGATAATTTAAAGCAGGTAGAGTCTTCTAGAGAAGGTGGGAGGGTAAAAGACTTGGAAAAGGAAGATCCTCTACTAGTTGTTCAACAAATGGCTGCTTCTTTGGGGGGTCCTAGTGTCCTCATTAATATAAAAAGAAAGTTAAACTAGATGCTATCAAAAAATCCAGACTTCTCCCAGTTCATTCATCTGCAGATTTCTGGAAGTCGTTACTTTCCCCACAGTACTCGGACTTTTCCTCAAGGTTGGTCTCTAAAATTAGACTGGAAGCCCAGATGGGTGTAGCTCAGCGGTAGAGCGTTGACCTAGGAACTAAGAGGTCACCGGTTCGATTCCTGGTCAGGGCATATGCCCAGGTTGTGGGCTCCATCCCCAGTGGGGGGCGTGCAGGAGGCAGCCAATCAATGATTCTCTCTCATCATTGATGTTTCTATCTCTCTCTCCCTCTCCCTTCCTCTCTGAAATCAATAAAAAATATATTTTAAAAAATAAATTAAATTAGACTGGAAGAAATCTTGCTTTAGAGCTTAATCATCCTTAACCCCCTCCTAAAATTGATATGGGTCTTTTCCAGTAATACCTCATTTTCTTTGGGCCATCTTTATCTACTGTTAGTTGTTCAATCTTTACAGTTCTTGTCCCCAGTAAGTTCTTTTAATCTAACCCAGAAGTTTATCTTGTAACAATTGATCAAAATAATATGAGCAATAACAGAGGCCATCCATAGTCAGTCATTCTTTAGGGGTCTTTTTCTGTTTTGGTAATCTCAGAAGTAGAAAAATGTAAAAAATTTAGAAAGGAAAAATATAGTAAGCATTCAAAGTTAGCTTCTATTATGTGTCAGGTACAGTGCTGAACATTTTATATGCTTTCATTTAATTCTCTCCATGACCTTATCTGAATAGGTATTGATGAGAAAACTGGTGCTATACACTCTATTAATGTATATAAGGTCACAGAGACACAGTTAAAAAGGCAGGCCTTTTGCCCTGCCTGGTGTGGCTCAGCTGGTTGGAGTGTCATCCTATACACTAGAAGGTGGTGGGTTTGATTCCCAGTCAGAGCACATACCCAAGTTGTAGGTTCAATCCCCATTCAGGGGGCATGTAGGAGGCAACTGATCGATGATTCTCACATCTGTATCTCTCTCTCCCTTTCTCTCTCTCTCTCTGTCTCTCTTAAATCAATAAAAAAAATTGCAGGCCTTTTGATATCAGAGCTCAAGTTCTTAAACGTTATGTTATATTGCTTCTGAAAACAAAAGAAAATTAGTCTAGTGCAACTACTCACAATTATTGTTTTAATGTATTGTTAACTGGTTCGCAATTTGCAATTTCCTTACAGTTTTAAATGTAATTTTTAATAGGGTATTAGTATTTCACACAGATTGACCATGACTTAGTCTTCTATTGTTATTTTGTTTCCCTTTATTTATACTCTATTATATTCCATACAAGTCTTAGTACACCCCTTTATTTCCTTAGTATATATTTCTTAAAGGATAAAAGAGTTTGTTTTGAAGGCTTTCAAAACACATTGCCAGATTGCTGCTTGGAAATCAATCTGATATCAGCAGAACTTTATTTATCATCTGTCTAGAGACAAGGCAAGCATTGTCTTGAGTTTGCAGGCTCGGTGGAATGTGTTCTAAAGCATATAAAAAGTTAAATATCAATATGATATTTTGGTGCCAGGTCAGGATGCTACTAACAACAGCCTGAGGTTGGGATACTTAATTGTGAACTACAGGGTAGAAATGTGTGGGTGAGGGGAAGCTCATTGGAGCAAGGGAAGGCTCCCTTGGGAGGTGCATCTGAGCAGGGTGTTGAAGAGCATTGGTGGCAGCCAAGGTGGGAGAAAGGAGGAGTGAACACCTGGGGACAGGAACGCAGGGGACTTGCTTAGGAGAGGCAATACAATTGGTTGTGGAAGAGCCTTCAAGGCTGAATGGAGCCCATTTATGGAGAGCCTTGAATGCCTGGCCAGTGTTCCAACTATTCTTCCTACTGTAGTGAAGAATCAGAAAAAAAAACACAAGACAATGATTTATTTAAGTATTCATGATATGTTGTTAAATGAAAAGGACATTTCAAAATAAGAGTGTATGCTATGATCACAGTCTTATAAAATAAAAAGGATTCATATTATACATGTCATTGTTGTACTATATGGAAAATGTGTAGATGCATATATTCCAAGGCATTACTGCGGCTACCCAAGGGTGCTGAGGTGATCACTGCTTTACATTTTCTTCTTGCCTAACTCTAGTTTCTAATGGTTCTACAGTGGATTGTGTGGCTTGCACAGTAAGACTGTATCAGTGAAGTAATGCTAATTCTAAATGAGGATGGTACCGTCCCTCCCCTGCCCCTGACTTTGCCAGTGGGTGTTTACACTGTGTGTAGGAAGGTATTTTTTGTCTCAATGATCAGGGGATGCTAATTGATTTCATTGGGTGGGACCCAGGGATGCTAAATGTCCTGCAATGAATGGTCCCAACCTCACAAGAAGAGTTCTCTCACTCAAAATGCCTGTATTAGTCTATTTAAGAAACAGTTAAGCGATGATTGTTTTGTTTGTTTCTTTGTTTGTTTTAAGCAAAAGAAACAGATGCTGGGGAACTCAAGTACTTAAGCAAAAATATAAGTGTAGTAGAAGAATATTGGCAAACTTCCAAAATGACAAAGAAAGCTAAAAAAATAAAATAAAATAAATGGGTCTCAGAAAAGAACAGGAACCAGGGCAGTTAGGGAGATATACATAGAACTGACGTGGTCTCCTCAGGGATCCCTTGTCAGAATTAATTTTTACCCGTTCTTTTTCTGCCCCTGTGTCATTTTGTCATTTTGCTAGTTATTTAGATTCAGGTTGCAGGGAGAGATGGTGAATGCCCTTACTTAAGTCAAAGGCCTGCCCTTTAGTTCTGCCCTATGATTGTGGCCTACAGTCCTCTCCTCCCAGGTTGTGTCTGGGTGAGAGAGAATTCACAAAAAATAAATCAAAATCAGGAAGAATGGATGCTGAGTTTCCAAGAGCTGATAAATAGCCAATAAAAATACAGTTATTTTGTATTAATTTTACTTTTTCTTTTTTGTTTGTTTGTTAGTCCTCACCTGAGAATATTTTTCCACTGATTTTTTAGAGAGAGTGAAAGGGGAGGGGGGAGAGAGAGAAACATTGATTTGAGAGATACACATAGATTGGTTGCCTCCCACACGAGCCCCGACAAGGGCTGAGGACTGCGCCTGCAACTGCGGTACATGGTCTTGACTGGAATTGAACCCGGGACCCCTCCGTCTGAGGGCCGATGCTCTATCCAGTGAACCACATCGGCTAGGGCTAGTAATTTTATTTTTATTAAAGTTATTTTGCTGCCTCTTTTGCAGAAGTATGGTGCAGAAGGTTTACAATAAGAAGTTCCTAAGTTCACCCTAATTCAAGTGAGGCATTCCAGCCCTGTGAGAGGGAGTTTGACTGTGGACCAGCTATTGACTCTTCCACTTGCTTTTCCCATTTTTCCTCAGGTGGTAGAAGCTGTTAATAGCACCTCCAGCAATTGCCATTATAATGAGACGGTGATTCTCACACCCACCATAGACTCTCGACTCTACATGCTCGCCTTCCTGCCCATCCTGATGCTGCTGGTCCTCTTTAGGAACCTCAGGGTCCTGTCCATCTTCTCCATGTTGGCCAACATCAGCATGCTGGTCAGCTTGATCATCATCGCTCAGTACATTGCCAAGGTTAGTGCATACCACACATCTGACTCCTGCTGGGGGCAGAGCCTTTAATCAATAATAGACTGATACTTGGCACCAACACTGAGGGTAGTTAAGTGTTTATCTCATTATCCAGCCTGGTACCCGCCTCAGTGTAACATGTCTTCCACAAAGATGTCTCTGTGAAATCTCATTCTTCTGGGTATCTCCTCTTGCATGTTGCTCCTCCAACCATTGTTTTGTGTCAAATTCTGGCTTAAAAAAATGCTTTGCCAGGAAAGCATCATAATTGGTGAACGATAGATTATTCCTGTAATGCTGGAGTAGCAGCAAAAAGCAGAAAGAAAGCAGCATCTTCCTATCTGATTGCATCTGTCTAGTCTTACATATTCTAGGCTGCAATTCCAGGCACTCAAAATCACCCCCTCAGGCACTCAAGAGGAAAAAACCCTCATATTTTATCACAGAGATATAGAGTCTTAAAAGGCCAAAAGCCAATCTATCACAATGTAAATTATAACATCTTTGAAGTTGACTTACACATACTGATTTTCCCTCAATTTCCTACTTTTCTATCCTTTCTAATTTTTATTTTATAATGGACAAGACCACACAGAAATTTAAATCACAGAAGCTCCTTGTCATATCTAATACCTTTCAGATTTTTTTCTCTTTCAGAAGTCGCAAGGAATTTAGTAATAATAACAAATTAGGTAAATATTTTGGGGTAACTATAAGTGAGTTTTATATTCCTTAAGGCAATATTGATGAATTCCACAAAATTGAATTTTCTAATGAGATAGCTACCTTTGGTTCTTGTTTGGACAACCCCAAAGGTTGCTCAGTGAGAGGAATGGTTCTGTAATGATTTTCACATTCTAGGTCACAGGGTACATAACATATTTATTTCATACATGTTCCTCCTCTTCTATTTGTGTTATATATATTATTAATTTCAGAGAGGAAGGGAGAGGGAGAGAGAGATAGAAACATCAGTGAGAGAGAATCATTGATTGGCTGCCTCCTGCATGCCCCCTACTGGGGACCGAGCCCACAAGCTGGACATGTGTGCCCTTGATTGGAATCGAACCCAGGACCCTTCAGTCCGTAAGCAGACACTCTATCCACTGAGCCAAACCAGCTAGAGCCTCCTCTTCAATTTGTAGCTCATTGAAAATGAAGAGATTTTCATATTTAACTAATTCCTTTGGGCTCCCTGGACTATCGCTGTAACTTAGTAATTGCCAATACCCATAACCACTGTACAAAGTGTTCTTGGGCACTTTAGGCTGGCACTAACCTATGGTGTGCAAGACTTTCTTTTGTTGGATTCTGATAAACCAAACTCCCTTGTGAAATATCGATTCTTCAATACTTTGACAATACCTTGATATTTTCCCCCCTCTGGCTCTTTGTTCTTGTGCAGTGTTAAAATCAACTTGGATTGTTGCCTACTTCCTTTTGAAGTTTTCTAAATTACTTGACATTTAATTTTTAAAAAAATTCAGGTCTACTTTCAGAATGCCCTCTTAAAGGAGCCCAAACATGCTTTGAGGGTTAATGTCTTACCTCATATCTCTTTCCTATAGGATATTCCAGACCCCAGCCAGTTGCCACTGGTAACAAGTTGGAAGACCTACTCTCTCTTCTTCGGAACAGCCATTTTTTCATTTGAAAGCATTGGCTTTGTAAGGTTTGAATCAGGGTGGAATTTCCCTGGTGCTGTGGGTGACCTCCTGAGCGGGTGCTGGGTGCTCTGGGTTTTGGGGTTTCTGTGCACACGGGAGAAAGTAACCTCTGGCTTCAATAGGGTCCGTTGTCACCAGCAGGAGAAAAGCAGGTTACAACAGAGAGGCAGTCAGGAGAGAGATCCATTCTTATCCCCGTACACCTATGAAACGTATCTTCATGTCAACATGTGTTTCCTAACCTTTTAAAATCAAGGCAAATGGAGGTGTACCATTTAAATGACAGGACCTGATGAAACGTAAAGGAGTTTTAAACAAGAAAGTACTGGATCCTTACGATGGATTATTACATAGTCTCTACTTCCACACTTGAGGAAGGACAGTGCTGTGTATATAACTTTTTAATTTATATACAATGCAGTTCGCTTTTGGGGAATTGGAGGGGGGGGTTGTACATTTCTGTAAGTTTTGAGAAATGCATGGAGTCATAGATACACCACAATTGGGATACAGAACAATTCCCTCACCACAAAAAACTCCCCACCTCCATTAATCCCTAGCACCCACCACCTGTTCACTGTCTCTGCTGCCTTATCTTTCCCAGAATATGCAGGGGATTATACAGTATGGAACCCTTTGAGACTGGCTTCTTTCACTTAGCTGCATGTAGGATCATCCATAGTGTTGCATGTGTCAGTAGCTCGTTGCTTCCTATCTCTTGAGCATCCACTGTAGCAGGGACACTACAATTTACCAATTCACCTGTAGAAAGATATTAGGGTTGTGTCTAGGTATTGACGATGATGAGTAATGCTGCTATAAGCATTGCGTCCAGGTTTTGTGGGAACATCTTTTTATTTCTCTAGTAGGCTTGCTAGTTCACAGGCAGAATATACTTCAGTCTCATTTCTGCGGGCCATGGTTCCTTGGTTCTGGCCTAAGGAAAAGATTATTTTTAGCTGGGAGAACTTACGCAGCTAAAATGTATTACAGAGTGGGAAAGCTCGGGGTGGATTGTCTGCTCTCCACATAACCCCCAGGATGTTTTCCTGAATACCTGCTGCAACTGCGAACCTGCCCCTCACCCAAAAGGAAGTGGAAAGGCACAGCAGTGACCCCCACTTAGCACTCCCTTCACGCAGTTCCCATATGCAAGGGGCAGGGAGGAGATGCATGTAGGACAAAAAGTCATTAACGATACCAGGGCATAGATGCTACGTTCCCACTGAGACCACACATACCCAGTGCTATAGGAGTACAGGCAGAATTGAGTAGAAGCAAGCACTTGGACTTTGGAGGACACCCCAGTCTGCACCTTGGCTCTGCCACTTGCAAGCTGTGTAACTTGGGGCACGTTACTTCATCTTCAGAGCCTTGTTCTCCTCCTCTGTAAAATTAGCCCTATACACGTACAAGCTTCATAGAGTTGTGGTCTTCACAGCATTGGTTCAAGAGACAGAAGTGACCTTTGGGTGCCCAGCAGGCTCAAGAGGCAGACTGGTCTCCAGATGGATGCTCTCAGAGCCAGGGATGCATCCGGGGTGCAAGGATCCTAAGAACATGGTCTGGGGAGAAATGTGCTACTGGGGAACCAGGAAGCTCTGGTCCAGCTGTGCCACCAGCCCACCGTGTAACCTGCGTCTCAGCCTCCCCATCTGTACAGGGAGGGATGAGTACACTGGAATCGGAAGTCTCAGATTCAGATGCCTTTGGAAGGCGGTGTGGGTGAGGAGGCAGGCATATGTCAGTGTGAGTGAAAGAGGGGGGCCTGGTGAATGGGGAAAGAATGTTGTGCCTAAAGACATTCATAGTCATTCAATTTTCTTAAAGGCTATGCTGGCCAAAGAAAATGCATCTGCCCAGATCGGGCTGCCCCAAGGAGCCTAGCTCCTTGGTCCTGGACAACCCGAGGGGACCTCCCAGCTCTGAATGGTCCCGGGTTCATCTTGTGACTTCTTTAATTGTGGTAAAACACACCTAGCACAACTTATCTTCTTCACCATTTCAAGCACACAATTTAGTGACATGATAGACATTCACATCATTGTGCAACCATCACATCCATCCATGTCCAGAATTCTTTTCCTTTCAAGAAACTGAAACTCTGTACCCATTAAACAATAACTCCTCAATTCCCCTCCTCCTCCAGTCCCTGGAAACCATCATTCTACTTCTGATTCCATGAATTTGTCTAGTCCAGGTACCTCGTATAAATGGAATCATGAAGTATCTGTCCTTTTGTGTTTGGCTTAGTTTATTTAGCGTAATGTCCTCAAGGTTCATCTATGTTGTGGCACGTTCCAGAATCTTCTTCCTTTTTAAGGATGAATAATATTCTATGGTGTATGTATACCACATTTGTTTATCCATTCATCCATCCATGGACACTTTTCTAAAAAGTTTCCACCTTTTACTGTTGTGAATCATGCTGTATGAACAATGGGTGTGCAGATATCTGTTCAGGTTCCTGCTTCCAACTCCTTTGGGTATATACCCAGAAGTGGCATGCCTTTCTTCTTTGCGTCATGGCCCTCTTTCTCCTGCTGTCTTCTCACACTGTGTTATTTCTGTAGGTTCTGCCCCTGGAAAATAAGATGAAGGATTCCCGCCGCTTCCCAGCTATCCTGTCTTTGGGAATGGCCATCATCACTGCCCTGTACATTGGCTTCGGGGTTCTGGGCTACCTGCAGTTTCAAAACAACATCAAGGCCAGCATAACCCTTAACCTGCCCAACTGCTGGTAACTTTATGGGCCCTCTGGTGGGGGGCAGGGGGACTCAGGGCCAGGTGGGAACGTATAGGTCACTCCCTCCTCCCTCCCACAGATGGCAAACCGAGGCCTAGAAGGCCTCCCCAGGGAGAAGCAGAGCTGTTGCTGGAGCCCTGGGCTCTGGGTTCTCTGTTCAGGGAGCTCCTTCTTTAACTACAGCCTCTCATGTTGAGTGAGGCCTTGTTATCTCAGAATGGAGGAGGACATATTTAGGGAGAAAGGAAAGAAGTGAGAATCCTTGGTCACCTAAGGAGAGAAGGGAAAGGTCTAGGGAGGGCAAGAGACAGAGAGAGGAGTCGGTGGTGGCAATACTTTTCATTATATTTGAAACCCTATCCTGTTTGGCTTAGTAGAAAGAGCATTGGCCCACAGATGGAAGGGTCCTGGGTTCGATTCCGGTCAAGGGCACGTGCCTCAATTGCAGGCTCGATCCCCAGGAGGCAACCAGTTGATATGTCTCTCTCACGTCGATGTTTCTCTATCTCCCTCCCTCCCTTCCACTCTCTCTACAAATTAATGAAAAAATATCCTCAGGTGAGGATTTAAAAAAATTTTAGCAATTATATTTGCGAAGGCTGTATTACCAAATCTTGCTTGCCACGGCCTGTGGTGCACATCCCCATGTCAGAGTAGCTAAGATGAAAAGTAGTCAAACAAGAACCAATTTGGGAGGACCCACTGTGAGAATGTTTTCTTCAAATGCACTCAGTTCAGGCAACAGTTAGCTGAGCCAGACTTCAACAGAGCCACATTTAAGTGGACACACAAAGCCATATTGCATTGTGAGCATTTATGCCCCTGACCAGGGCCGGGAGCCTGCGACCAAGGTACGTGCCCTTGACCGGAATCGAACCTGGGACCCTTCAGTCCGCAGGCTGACGCGCTATTCACTGAGCCAAACCGGCTACGGCGTGGGTGCCTTCCTTTTTAAGGGGCACTTGGAGGCTTAGTTGGCCTTAAGTGGGGTACCTTTCCCAAGTTGATAAATGTCATTCATCAAGCGTTTACTGCAGGCCAGTTATATGCAGATGCCAGTCTAGGCACATGGGGGCATGCAGTATGCTGATGTGAGTAGACTATGAATTTCAGCTTCACTGTCTTCCTTGACTCATAATCCAGTGGAAGTGGGGAAGGGATAGATAGTATAATAAGCAATTGCAGCACAGAATAGGAAAAGAAGCCCTCTAGAGGAGCAAAGAGGCCTTGTGACTTTCAAGGAAAGAAACTACATTGGAATAGGACAACAGAGAATCTTGTTGTCCAACAAGGCAACTCTGCCCAGACAAGGATCACTCTGGCACTCCTGGGTCCAGGTCCCAGTAATACTGCCTCCTGGTTTGTGGTCATGGATGATTTACTTAACCTCTCTGACCTTTGGTTTCCTCATCTATAAAGCAGAATTGTCATGGGATTGAATTGGGCATGTTAAAAGCATCTGGCATGTAATACCTGCTCAAAAGACGGGAATTTCAAGAAATCAGTGGGGTTTGGGACAGATGGAAATGGAGTAAGTGGTATTCTAGGCATCAGGACTACTGTGAGCAAGAAATGCAGAAATGTGGAAGTTAGCTTTTTAAAGAATGGCCTAAACACAGACTCAGACATACATGTACACACACACAGGTTTATTAAACATGGGAAGATCCATCTACCACATTCGTGGATTAAAGGAAAAATGTCATATCTTCATAGGTCAGAAAAGGCTTTGATAAAAGTCAACATCCTCCATCACACACTCTCTCTGCTTCTAATCTGATGCCTGCAAGTAATCCTACCCCTCTTTTTACCCGCCCCCAGCCCTCGCATAGCCCTATTTGTAGACTGCCTCTGCCCCCAAGGATTTGGGATTCTGCAGTTCTCACAACCTACTAGAAGCATTTGTTGAGGAGCTGTGCCAAGAGCTTTGGGGGGAATCCAGAGAATTCCTAAGGATTGTCAGAGATCACAGGACCAGAGTCTTTCAGATCCATGGTTTTTGGCCTTTGCCACTTATCACTTGTCTCTCCCTGGACAAGGTATCCAGACTGAGCCTCTCTTTCCTAAAATCCAAAATTGAGCATCAGGTGATAGTGGTTTGTTATATACTAGTATATATACCCATGTTATATATATATATCCATGCGCAGGTGTTATATATACCCATGCTCAGCTGTTATATACACCCATGCTCATGTGTTTTGTCTATTATACCCAGGCTAAAGATTCTTTTTATTTAAAGATGACCCTCTCAACTGTTGCTTTTCGAATCCATGATGGTTCAGTCTATTTTCACTGCGTGCTCTGCTGTGACTCCCTTTTGGCCTTTAGAGGTTCCCTCCCCATCACTTTTAGACAAGAAAACTACAGCCAGAGGGATTGTCCTAAGGTCAGAGGTTAATAGTCTGAAGAGGTCGGGTGTCAGAGCCCAGTGGTCATAGAAAACATCACCGTTTTGTCCTGCAGGCTGTACCAGTCGGTCAAGCTCCTCTACATCGCCGGCATCCTGTTCTCCTACGCCCTGCAGTTCTACGTCCCTGCAGAAATCATCATCCCCTCCGCCATCTCCCGGGTGTCCAAGCGCTGGGAACTGCTTCTGGATTTGTCCATCCGCTTCACCATGGTCTGCCTGACATGTGAGTAGAAGGCAGAGAACAATGTTACTCTTTTCCCGAGGGCTGTCAGAAATCAGCCAGATGGTAAAGGATAGTCGTAATAATCGGCACTGATTGAGCACTAAATTGAGCACTAATTTCAAGGACCGGAAAAGGCTTGGCAAGTAGTAATTCATTTAAGCCTCAGGGATAAGCTAATTCTTACATCTACCTAATAAGACAGATTTGATGCTGGGCAGCCTGAGGACGTGGCACAGCTTATCAAACAACAATCATAATAAGAACTGATATTTATTAAGCATCTACTGTGTGCCAGGCACTGCGCTAAGCTCTTTTTTAGTCCATATTTTATAGAATTTTATTCAGTCCTACAGGAACTCTTATGAGGTAGGATTATGAGAAACCCTGCTTTTTCAAATGAGAACACCAAAGCAGGGAGAGATAAGTATTTGGCCAAGATGTGCCAGAGGTGGGATTTGAACCCAAGTCATCTAAGTCCCGAGCCAGACCCTCCGCCTCCAGGACGGAGGTTGAAAACGACAGTCGGTGTGTCTCATCTGGCAGCAGAGGTGTGTTGTTTGGCCCCCACAATGTATAAATGTATAAATCCGGGAAAACATTCAAAATCTGGCAGATTTCACTTACAAATCCAAATTTCTAATAGTTTTGGGGGGAATGATTTACCAATTCTAGGGTCACGTTCCCCACTGGCAGTAGTCAACTGGACTTGCCCCCTGGCTGGTCCCTGCTCACTTGTTGGCTTCACTGGCCCCACTCAGCCCCTCACAGCCCTCCCCCTGCTCCAGGCCCCGGGATCCCGGTATGGCATTTCTATGAGTATCTTAACAGGAACAAAGCATTTGATAGAGATTCCTGCCTTGGGTGTGATAGAGCCAAGCTGCCCCTAAGGCTTCTTTAATTGTGATTCTAAGAATCTCCCTCTACTTCTTGCTGTACTAGACCAGCCCATTTATTTCTCTGGACACTGATTTTCTTCCTTTGACGTGATCTGTTCCCAATTTACCCTAGGAGGTAGGGACACTGCCATTCAGAATCACAGAGACTCCAAAGGGCTGAAGGAATTTGTCCCAAATATAAAAATAACAACTTCTACTAGGGATCAAGCCCACAATCCCAGGCACGTGCCCTGACCGGGAATCGAATTGGGAAACTTTTGGTGCACGGGATGATGCCCAACCAACTGAGCCACACCGGCCAGGGCTACTTGTTTAAAACTTTAACACCATTTGCAATATGAACCATAATACCTAAAAGGGTAGATATCATTTATCCCCACTTTGTAGATGAGGAAACAAGTAGAGAAAGGGACAGGGACTTACCCAAAGGAGAAGCCAGAATCCTGCCTTCCAGGACTGTTTTCATTGTTGTCCCACACTCTTCCTCCACAAGAAGCCTGGGGGAGGCTTCTGGTCAGTTTTAGTGAAAATTTTGCATCCAGTAAAATAAAAAATGTAAAAGCACAGGCCTGTAAAACATCCTATGAGGGAAAAATAGAATGTCAAAATCTGTAGCTTTTAGTGTTTCTTTGTCAGATGTTTTCTGACATGTATGTAGAAGACACTTTTAGAGAGAGCCTGTGTTCTTATTCCAAGACTCTTCTCTCCTAGAAATAATTTTACATCCTCATGTCTACAAGAGGTGCTCCTAGTGTGTTAATTATTAAAATGTTAGCGCTAGGAAGTAAGGCTGTTGTTGTTTTTTTATTTTTTCAATTTTTGTCTGTTTTGTGCATTGATACATCCTAAATAGTTTGGGACAGTTTCCAGCACTGTTACTTAGTGTTACTTATGAAGAGTTTAATCGTTGAATATGCATGGATTCAAAATGTACCTTAGTGGCATAAAAATTATTTTAAGATAAAAACATTTGAACCAATAGAAGCTACAGGGGGAGAAAACAATTATAACTAAACTTCCTTTGCCAAATTAAGCAGGACCTCCTGAAAAGCAAAGCTGCCAGACAGTCCCTCTCAGGAAGGTTTTCAGCCAGAAAGAAGACTGGGTAATTACTTAAAATGAGCTTTATCTGAGACTTCACTCCTCCCTTGCACCCTTAGAAAATGGGAATATGAACCCCCTATCTTTGGCTGCTCCAGGAGCCAATTCACCTGAAGGTTCCCTAGCCCCGGATAAACTTTGTCTTTCCTCCTATTTAATGTGTCTATTGTCCATTAAATTTGCAGGCCCTCATCACGGAACTTAAGTGGGTAGTTTTTCCTCACAAAAATATGAATCTATAAATTAGAAAAATTATTGGAAGGAAACACACCGAATTTTTAATGTGTAACATCTAGTGAATATGATTGGGGGTATTGTAGGACTTGCAACTTTTTCTGTATGAAACTGGATGTATGAAAAACAACTGGTTTGTGTTTTAAGAAAAGGATTTTTAAAACGAACTTTCGCAGCTTGGTTAAACCTGGGATGATCTATCTATCCCATATCATCTCCCACAGGCATCTTGGCCATCCTCATCCCCCGCCTGGACCTGGTCCTCTCCCTAGTGGGCTCCGTGAGCAGCAGTGCCCTGGCCCTCATCATCCCACCCCTCCTGGAGATCACCACCTACTACTCAGAGGGCCTGAGCCCCCTCACCATCGTCAAGGACGCCCTGATCAGCATCCTGGGTTTCGTGGGCTTTGTGGTGGGGACCTACCAGGCCCTGGATGAGCTCATCCAGCCAGGACACCCTGTCACCTTTTCCAACTCCACCATTTTTATTCAGTGAAAATGGCACAGCTCCTTACCCACCAGCATCTGACTGTTAAGGCTATGGAACTCTTTTATATATGCATTATCTTTATTTTACAAGGACTCACCAGCTACAAGGCCTAGGTGGTAAGTAAAACAAATTTTTGTTTATTCCTTTTCTTTCCATCTCTAGCTTTCTACTACAAGGAGAGCTCTCCCATGGAAGGCTCTCCATTCCACCCAACGTTTTGGCCATTCACATGGTGACTCTCACACCTTGAATGGAGCTATGCAAGAAGAAGCCACTGGGGGCACCCAAGTGGCAGCAACTGGCAGGAGGAGGTGTGGCCAGCTAAGGCTGACCCTGATTTGACAGAGAAAAGGTTCCAGCAACCTGTGCCCAGCTCCAGCATCAAGATGAATTAGGCCAAGAGGCCCATTGTGAGCTGAAACTCTCAAACAGAGAAAAGCCATCATATTTGTCAAGGGCAATAAACTTTCTAAACCACTGGATAAAGTTTTGGCCCAGTTCAAAGATCCCAACAATGGACAGGAGGCATGAAGATAAATGTGCCAATGGCAGGGGAAAAGGGATGGACAATGATATTATTTGGCATCATTTACCTTTTAAGTCTTACAACACCTTGACTACCGACTGTGTGCCAAGCATATTCAAGGCTCTTGTAGTAGATTGCAAACATGGCCACAAATTCTTCTTGACAATGTGACTTTTCAGCTCCTCCCATGAATGCAGATAGACAGACAGACAGAGCCAAATGCCCACTCCTACCCCTTCATAACGCCTAGTAGAAAAATAGGCAAATGCACTAGCAGGGAATTCGTAAGAGAACAAATACAAATGTCCAAATTATGTAAGATGTTCACCTGCTGGGGTCCATTCACCTTCAATAGTAACCAAAGAAATAGGAATTACTGGTAAAGTAACAATGAGTCAATTTTACTTATCACATTTCTAAACATTTTAAAGATTAATAAAAAGTTGGCACTGGCGGAGTGTGGAAAAACTGGCACTCTTTTTTTTTTTTTTTTGGTGGTAGTGCATTCGGTACAACTTTTCTGGCGGACAATATGAATCAAAATTGAAAATAAGAATATTATTTGACCCAACAATTCTTCTGACACTTCCTCCTAAGGCAACAATCAAATGTTCAAAGGTATATTTATAAAGCTGCTCATCACTGAAAAATTGGGTATGTCCAGTATATCCAATAGTAAGGGTTTTATTAATTAAAATAAGGCACCCCCCCCAAAAAAAAACTATACAAGGAAGCAATTGGAAATCTCAAAAATTGCTGGTGGAAATGCAAACTGGTGCAGCCACTTTGGAAAATAGTTTGGTGGTTTCTTACAGACTTAAAAATACACAAGCAATCCTACTCCAAAATCTTCACCAGATAAATAAAAACACTTGACCACATGAAGTCTTGTACATGAATGTTTCCAGCAGCTTTATTCATAATCACAAAAAAACTGCAAGTAATCTAAATGTCCATCACCGGATGAACGAAGAAGCACATTTTGGTATGTCCATCCAATGGAATACTACTCAACCATGAAAAGGATTAAACTGTTGCATTCAATGACATGGATGAACCTCAAAAGCATCATGCTGAGTGAAAGATGCCAGACGTAAAAGCTTACATGTTTTATGGTTGCATTTATATAACATTGTCAAAGATGCTAAACCGAATGGATGGATGTTGGAGGAGAAGATTCACTACAAAGGGGCCTGAGGGAACTTTTTGGCATGATGGAAATGTTATATAGATTAGTGTTAGTTATGAGGCTGTATGCATTTGTCGAAACTTGTTGAACTGTATACTTTAAAAGGGTGATGTTTTCTGGATGTCAGTTATACCTCAATAAACTCCACTTTAAAAATCAAATGTTCTCCAGTCATTAAAATTTATTTCTTCATCTGTTTGGCGAAGTGAAAATATGGATAGCATATATTAAGTGAAAAGTTGTATTAGCATTTCAAATACGACAGTTGCACACCCATATTCAGAGCAGCATGATTCACAATAACCAAAAGGTGGAAGCAACCCAAAGGTCCGCTGGCAGATGAATGGGTAAACAAAATGTGGTATATGTTACAATGGAATATTACTCAGCCCTAAAAAGGAAGGAAATTCTGACACATGTCACAACACAGATAAACCTTGAGGACATTATGCTAAGTGAAATAAGCCAGTCACAAAAAAAGACAAATAATGCATCATTCCAGTTTTATGAGGTACATACAGTAATCAGAGATATGAAAAAATAAAGTAGGATTGGGGAGGGGGAGGATCCTAGCAGAGAGGGGGGAGGAAAGTTTAATTGGTATAGAGGTTCAGTTTCGAAAAATGAAGAGTTCTGGAAATTGGTTGTACACATTGTGAATGTATTTACCAGTAACACCAGTAACTGCACACTTAAAAATGGTTAAGTTGGCTGCCCGGCCAGTGTGCTCAGTGGTTGACCATCAACTGTGAACCAAGAGGTCACCAGTTCAATTTCTGGTCAGAGCACATACCCAGGTTTCGGGCTTGATCCCCAGTAGGGGCATGCAGGAGGCAACCAATCAATGTTTCTATTGCTCTATCTCTCTCTCTTCCTCTCTCTCTCTAAAATCAATTTTTAAAAAATGGTTAAATGGTAAGTTTTATGTGTGTTTTATCACAATTTTTTACAAAGCTGTATTCGACATCAAGTTAGCGGTGGGACATGTGCATGAATGAAGCACCTTAGATTGATCACAGCTGTTCTCTCTGGATGAGGGTGATTCTCACTTTTTGTAGTTTTGCATTTGTTTGTCTTTGTTTTAAAATGAGCATGGAATTTCTTATAATCTATCACTGTCTCATTATTTGTTTGTCCTCTTCCTGCTTCCTACTAAAGTACAGACTCCTTGAAAGTGTTCATTGCTGAGTCTATAGCGCCTGCCTAATACAGAGCAGGCATTCACTAGTGAGTATTAAAGCAGTGAATAAATGCTTTGGGGAGGGGAAGTAATTTCCAACCTGGGAAATAGCCTTTCGGTCATCAGAGGAGGGGGAGAGCTCATTTGATATACAGGGGAGGGAAGAGGCTCATAGAGTTGATTTCAGAGCATTACTAAGAGTTGACATGGGGAGCACTTTGGCCCCGCATAATCTTTATAAGTAACCTGTCCAGACCATCCCAAATGAACATACAGTCAAAGTACAGTGGGCCGGGGTTTACTCTGCAAAGGCATCTTCAAGACTAGACTTTGTTCATGCCGACCCCGTCCTTCCTGTTACACCAAAAACAGCGCAGTCATCTTTGACCCCTCTCTTTCCTTTCTACCCCACAGTGAGTCCATCAGCACATCCTCTGGGCGTTCGCTTTAAAGATGTCCAGACTTCAGTCACTTCTCACCATCTTTAGCTGCCACCTGGTCTACACCCGTTGACCTTGGGTCATTGCAGTAGCCTCTGAGCTTATTGCAACAGCCTCCTAATTATGTCCCTGCTTTTGCTCTCGCCCCCATTCAATCTGCTACCAACAAAATGGCCAGGCAGATCCTGTTAAAACCCAAGTCATGACCCTTCTCTGCTCAAAACCCTCAGTAAAAACCAAAGGCTTCCCAGTGGCCTACAGGGTCCTGCCCATCCCAGTCCACCCATTTGTTGTTACTTCCACTTACATTAACTGCATCTCTGGTGTGATCCTGTAATTTATCATTCAAGCCAGGACACTCTTGATAGTGAAAAGAGGCAATGTTAATAATTATTCATCGTGCTAGGGCAACAAGCACAAACCAGCACAGTCCTGGGCAAGCCAGACATATGCCCCTCTACTCGTCTCCCACCCTTTGTGCACACTGAGCCAGCCACCTGGCCTTATCATTCCTGCAATACCCCAGGCACTCTCCTGCCTCAGGGCCTACGTTTCTTACCTTAAACCAGCGGTTCTCAACCTGTGGGTCGAGACCCCTTTGGGGGTCGAACAACCCTTTCACAGGGGTTGCCTAAGACCCCTGTGAAAACACAGAAAACATATATAATTACATATTGTTTTTGTGATTAGTCACTATGCTTTAATTATGTTCAATTTGTAACAATGAAAATACATCCTGCATATCAGATATTTACATTATGATTCATAACAGTAGCAAAATTACAGTTATGAAGTAACAATGAAAATAATGTTGTGGTTGGGGGTCACCACAACATGAGGAACTGTATTAAAGGGTCGCGGCATTAGGAAGGTTGAGAACCACTGCCTTAAACACACACAGCGCTTGCTCCCTCACCTCATCAGCCCTTTCCCCAAATGTCACTTCCTCAGTGAGGCCCACTGTCACCACCAGTCTAAAATTGCAAACTTCCCCCTCCCCATCCCCGCCGGCACTCTCCATTGCCTTTCCTGCATTATTTTTCTTTCCAGTACGTATTATGAACATATACTCAACATTTTTTTATTATCAGTCTTTTCATTAGCTCATAAGTTCCACGAGGGCAGAAGTTGTAGTACTTGTCTACCCTACTGTTTTCCCCGTGTGGAGAACAGTGCCTAGTATACGAGGGTGGGCAAAAGTAGGTTAATAATAATACATAATGCAATAATAAATAATACGAGAATAAACTCTGTTTCATGTACTCATAACTGTAAGCCTACTTTTGCCCACTTCTATATTAATGCTCGATAAGTATTTTTTGAATATTTTTTAAAAGTTTACTTGCACTCCTTTTTAAATAGGTGGCAGTCCTCTTGTACAGAAATTCTGAGCAGGTGGCATTGAACTGGGCCATAAAAGCCACGCTTCACCCCCACCCAGGGCAAGGTGGTAGCCGATCTCCCTCTGTTGGACCACACCTGCATCCTGGGATTCTGCAGCACTTCATTGGCTGGGCAGCCTCCATTGTGAGGTAGTTCTGGTTTCCCCTTGCCAGGGATAGGGGAGCACTGGGTCTGGCCCCACATCCAGGCCCCGGACCTCCAGTCCAATGGTGCCTTCTTCCTCCCAGTCACACTGTTCACTTTAGGGCTAAAGTGGGAGGGGCGGAAAGCCAGGCAAATCCTGGCATGTGGCCAATCAAATGCAAGGGGCACTGAGGGTCCTCCTGAGATGAGACTTTCCTAAGTCCCCCAAAAGCCAGGTGAGGCATAATCAACATCAGCTTCCCCTGCCACCAGGGGCTTCACTGATTCACACGCTCAGGCTCCACCCAGGGCAGACACCCTCAAGAATTCAGAGCTAGCATCTCAGGCCTGCAGCCCTGGTTTCTCTGGAGAAAAACCCATGGAAGGCTGGTTTGAGGCTGCTACAGGACTTAACCCTGAGCCACCACCACCTCCCCACCATGTCGAAGACTCCATTGCTTCAAAGGGACGACAGTGAGTCCAACTCCCTGGATGACGGTTCCAAGTCAGTCTCCAAGAGTAGCAGTAACACCAGTTCAGAGGGTGTCCATCCTGCTGAGGAAGCCAATAGATTGTCGTAAGTGGCTGCACTGCCCTTCCAGGTCTGAGGCCAAGCGCTGCTGCCTTCAGCTCTGGGCTACGTCTTCCTACTTCTCTCTTCTTTACACACTTCTCCCCAGTGTACAGGGGATGAATGGATGAAAGAACCTTCATAATCTGAGAAGGTCGATCCGTGTGGCTCTGGGTATTACACCTGTTGTCCAGTTTTGCAAAGAACCCAGATAGAGTAGCCATCCAGCATGATTTTCTGGGTTCCAGGAACAATTCTGTGCCTTAGGCTGGCTGCTCTTTCTGCCACAGTTTCAAGCTGCTTCCCTCTCTTCCACCTACTAGTCTTCGTTTTCTCTCTGTTTCTTCCTCTCTATCCCTGCCTCCCTCCCTCCCAACAACATACCCATCCAGGAAACAAAAGGTCACATCCTGGCCTCATGTCCCTACTTTTATTGCCATAGACCCGGATACGTGTCAATTTTTCTTAGGACTTTATTGCCAAGCGGACTATTACCTAGTAATCAGATCACATAATAGCCATGGACATAATGAGGTTATAAATGACAATACCCAGTGTTGATAAGGGTGTCAAGAAATGTCCTCCTCTCTCATGTCCTTTTGGTATCTTTGTAGATGACAATGTTGTAATGTATTGCAGACCCTAATGTATATTTATATAAAACATACAAATACTATTTTGCATTTGCTTTCTTTGAAAATACACACATACACACACAACTGGCAGTAGTGACTGCTCTGGGGAAAGAATTGGGAGGCAGAGAAGGGAGAGATAGGTATGCATGATGATTTTATTGAAACGCTGATTATAGTGTTGACAATTTCAAAACAATGAGATCATTTAAATAAAGTATGTACACACACAATAGCATAAATACAGCCATTACAAATGATGAAGAAAATCTATGGTTGTGAAAAATGTATAGGACATACTATTCATAATGAAAATTAGTTTAGGATATAGTATTATAATGCTTCTCATGCAAATGGTATGTGTTTATAAAAGCAAATAAGCAAATAAGGATGCCCAGAAGAATGTCAATCAAAATGTTAAAGGTGATTATTCCCACTTGGTGAAATTTTGGTATTTCCTTTTATAACACCAATGTAATATTTTTCAAGAAAAATATAAATATAACTTTTTTTAATTCCCAGGAATTCCTCACATGTTTTACTCTCCAAGGCCCTGATCTATGATGGGGTTAGTTAACAGCTTCTCCAAAACCTTGTCTCCCCTTTCCCGGGACACCTGATTCAAGTGAGACCGGACACCACTCTAGGAAAGAAGTGAGGGGAGGAGGGGAGAAAGTAGGGGAAAAGAGCAAATCTTTTGGGAAAATTATTATCAAAGAATTGACAAAATATTGTTTAATGTTTTTGCTTTGACGTATTTTTCAATAATTCCAGTTACCAAGAAATA